TTTTGCTCACCATACCAGAAATGAGACTTTTTCTTATGCCCTAGAGTACTCCCTTGAGCCAAGGAAGACACTAACATTCTGGAAATAGTCTCTGTTCTATGTCTCTTAATGTCTTTTCTCCATCTATCTTGGTTATTTATAAACTTTTCCCTGTCTGGGAGAAAATACAGCTGCCTTTGGACTACTGCTTGGTCTGGGCCTTGGCAACAGGAGGAAGCAGGGATGACTGTTACCAAGGCTGCAGGTTGTGCTTCTGGCACATCACAATGGAGCCATATATACCTGTTAAGAAAGAGCCCAGGTTTCATCTGAGCCTTAGCAATACAAAGCTCCTCACCTTTTCTTACCTGACTACAGTGGAAGTTCTCTACCCTAGACAGGACTATCTTTGTTATTTGGAATCAAGCCTTATAGTCCACAGGCTGCAGAAATATTTGATATATGGTGTAAATCCATTCATCATTATTTGTATGTTTTGAGATTTGATTTTTTTTAAAGACAAAATCCTACATGGCTGCAGGGTTTTGCTAGTGTCAGAGAAGGTAGAATATCTTTTTGGACTAAGAACTGCCTAGGTCAATTGAAAAAAAAGCATTTAATTTTATTTCCTGCTGCAGGTATCCTCGGATTCCTAACTCACAGACGTCTCTTTTTGGACCATATCATCAGTGTTCCTGATATCTGAGTCTGCTTCAGGGAGGTTTGAATCAGCAGTAGAAGTATTTGCTCACCGCTTGCTAGACTAATCCTGTGCATTGTTTGGAATGCCATAGCAACCTCGCTTCCATGAGCCAGGCAGCACAGCCAGCCCGCCCCAGTGCAGAGCAGCAGTCCCCAGCCAGGCCCAAGAACTCTGCAGCTTCTGCTTCTGGCCTGCAAGCAAGGATTTCACCTTTGCAAATGAAGTCGTAAGCTTGCAGGTGCGAGTGACGACGCCTTATGTATGTGGACCCAGGATGCTGTCGAAGAGGCTTACCACAGGTACGTAACACTTCCCATGATGGGAGACGGACTGGGTGGGTGTCAGACAGAGAGTCTGACCCCAGGGCGATTGTCTCAGGTATGGAGGTGGTGATACAAGAGAGAGGCATTTTGAGTCACTATGTTTAAACTTGCCTAGCAAAATTTGTTAGTTCGAAGGAAGAACTTTACTCCCTTCAAATGGCATCGTAAAACATGCTCCAAGAATGAGTGAGATTTTGTTGTCTGGGAACACCCACAATATATTTTTTTGAATTTTATCATACGATTAATTATACTTACTGTTCAAGGCTCCCAGAGTCTCATACAAATCTGTATTTTCATTAAAACCAGCAAACTTCTAGTAATCTATTTTGCAGAGGAAAGCTGACAAAAAGTTAACCCATATATATGAGAAATAATCTAGGTAAATAATGTCTGAACTATATTTAAATAATTCTTGTGATAGTCAACATTTTAATGCATTGGTCAACATTACTGCATGATCTTCAAGTTTATTTTCTTTCCTCAGGCTAAGTTACTTTATTTCAGAATATCCAGAAAGGTTGCCATGCCTCTACTTTTTGTTTCTATCCAGTAATTACAGTTGAACAAGCTTGACTGTAGTGCTTAGATAACATACAATATTTCATTTTTCTGTTTCAGAGCCTCCATGTGTAACAGAAGAAGTGTTTGTAAGTATGTTTTATGATCATTCATTTTGTCATACACCTATAGAGCAAAAAGCAAAATAATGTTTTTGGAAACTGTTGTCTGGTTTCTCATTTCTTTCCTCTGTGTAAGTATGGAGGACTGAGTAACTTGTTAGTTTTCTCTGACAAAAAATACAAAAAATACTTGGTTTGAAAAGAATTGGAGAAAAAAATGTAATAGGATACTATGAAGAATAAGGATGGAAATGAAAAGGAAAGTAAAATTGGATAAAGGAAGGAAACAATCAGCTGGAAGGTTCAATATGACAGGTTTAACAACCTTCTCCTTACTTTACTTCTTCTGCCCTTTGCTCATCGCTTATTGTAGGATTTCCCTGATGTTTGTCTTCTCATTTGAAAGGTATGCATGTTTGTTACCTCATATGAAAAGCCAACTTAAATCTTGCTGCTTAAGTAACGTTTGCCTCTTTCCCATTTTGTATGTCATTGTAGCTACGTATTGTTATTTCTTTTGGAAGTCTCTAGAAAGTACTTTATCTATACTGTTTATTATCATAAACAGAACCAACACAAATTCAGGTAAACTATATCCCCCCAATAGATGGTGGGATCAATAGCCCAAATGAAGTGTGTTTACACCAATGCACGCAGTCTGTGCAACAAACAGAAGGAGATGGAAGCTGTTGTGCAGCAGGAAAATTTATGACATAGTTGTGATCACAGAAACATGGTGGGATGACTTGCACAACTGGAGCACTGCAATGGATGGCTATAAACTCTTCAGAAGGGACATGTGAGGAAGAAGAGGCAGTGGAGTAGCTCTGTGTTTAGGGAGTGTTTTAATTGTCTGGAGTTTAATGATGGTGATGATAGGGTTGAATGTTTATGGTTAAGAATCAGGGGAAGGCCAATAAGGCAGATATCATGGTGGGAGTCTGTTGGAGACCACCCAATCAGAACTAAAAGAGAAGTGAAATAGATATTCTATAAACTACTAGGAGAAGTCTCACGATTGTTAGCCCTTGTTCTCACGGAGTACTTCAACTTACTAGATATCTGCTGGAAATAAAATACAGCAGAGGGAAAAGTCCAGGAAGTTCCTGAAGTGTGTGGAAGAGAACTTCCTGACACAGGTGGTGAGGGAGCCAGCTAAGTGTTGCCTGAAAGGTATGTGGCTGTGAGAGGCACGTACCCCAGCTAAACACTTGCTTGTTTCAGAGCCCCGGTAAGGACTTTCACTGAGACACTTTGCAACGTAGCCAACAATAGGTAATTTATTAAAGCAACAGACACAAGATTCGGAGTTGCCGTTGATAAATTGACTCTCTGCAATAGCGCTAATATATGATAATAATGCTAGCAAAACACTATCCCGGGTATTACTCACCAAAAGGTGGAAGCGCAATTCTTACCAAGAAGGCGTCCCTGTCTTGGGTGAAGGAGAAGCAGCACAGCCCGTTGACTGCCTCTTCCTCTTCTAGGTTCTTCTCCCCCCAGTGACACATACCCTCTATGCTCCTCATATACTATCTTTCCCCCCTCCCCAGGGTGGCATTTAGCATGATTTGAGTGAAGAGTGGGTGACTATAGTCATATAGGAATGTTAAGGTAAAAATTGCCACTCTGGGCCCTGTGGCCTTCAGGATTTTGTTTTGAAGCAGCTTATCTATTTGCAGGATGATGCTCACACTGTTAGTCTCTGTGTGGCCTTGCTCTTTAGCCAAAACAGGGCCGTCCTGGTGTCACAAGACTCCCTTCTTCAGCTGGTTCTCACTGTGTAGGCCTTGTTTTTCTCCGTTCTCAGGGTCTGCACAACAGATAAGTGAACACCCGTGTTCAGCAAGCCTGGAACCCTCAGGCTAAAATATCACAGGAAGGTGCTTTGCTGGACCTGTTGTTTGTGAACAGAGAAGGACTTGGGAGTGATGTGATGGTTGAAGGCCATCTTGGGCATAGCGATCACAAAATGATAGAGTTTTCAATTCTTGGAGAAGTAAGGAAGGAAGTCAGCAGAAGTGCTACCTTGGACTTCTGGAGGGCAGACTTTGGCCTGTTTAGGAGCCTGGTTGGCAGCCTCCCATGGGAGGCAGTCCTGAAGAGCAAAGGAGTTCAGGAAGGCTGGAAATTCCTCAAGAAGGAAAGCTTAAAAGGCACAGGAGCAGACTGTACCCCCAGCTTCCCCAGACAGTGGGGAAGAAGACTGACCTGGCTGAATAGAGAGCTTTGGCTGGAGCTCAGTTCAAAAAGAAGATTTTATAACCTTAGGAAGAAGGGGCAGGCATCTCAGGAGGATTGCAAGGATGTCATGAGGTTATGCAGGGTGAAAACTAGAAGGGCAAAAGCCCAGCTAGAAGCTAATCTGGCTACTGTTGTAAAAGACAATAAAAAATATTTCTATAAATACATTAACAACCAAAGGAGGGTTAAGGAGAATTTCCATCTCTTATTGGATGTGAGGGAAAACAGTGACAAAGGATGAGGAAAAATCTAATGTACTTAATGCCTCTTTTGCCTAACGATTAAATAAGAATATCTGTTCTCTGAGTACACAACTGCCTGAGCCAAAAGTCAGGGAGAGGGAGCAGAATGAAGCCCCCATAATCCAAGGGGAGAAAGTCAGCAACCTGCTGCTCCACTGAGGTGCACACAAGTATATGGGACTCGTTGGGATCAACCCAAGGGTACTGAGGGAGCTGACAGAAGTGCTCACCAAGCCACTTTCCATCATTTACCAGCAATCCTGGCTAACTGGGGAGGTCCCAGTGGACTGGAGATTAGCAAATGTCATGCCTATCTACAAGAAGGGCCAGAAGGAGGATTCAGGGAACTATAGGCCTGCCCATCTGATCTCAGTGCTGGGGAAGGTCATGGAGCAGATCATCTCAAGTGCCATCACATGGCACTTACAGGAAAACCAGGTGATCAGGCCCAATCAACACGGGTTTATGAAAGGCAGGTCCTGCTTGATGAACCTGATCTCCTTCTATGACAAGGTGATACATTTAGTGAGTAGAAAGTCATTAGGTTTGTTTCCACAAAATATCTAAGAACTGGTTGTATTCTATTGCCACAATGATTTTAAAATACATTTTAATGTTAAAAGAGTGATAGAAATCAGACCCAAGATATTCCTATCTGTACACAAATTGCATGAAGGCAAAACTGCAGTTTTGGACCAATTTTTAGTGCACCTTGACCTCCAGTTACAATTGTAAGGCAGCTTTTTGTATTGATGATTTGGACTGAGAAGTGGGGAAGATAGCATGGGAAGAAATGAAACAAAATGTTTCTTGGCACAAAAATCTAAGCTATAGTATTGTATATACAACTCCATAACCTATAGTGTGCAATTATGAAAGTGCAACTATGCTTTCAGATGAAAAGATCGACCACAAAACCCCTTCCAAAAAACCAGAGGAAAGTATATTGCATATAGATGTTGTAAGATCAGTAAGTAGTGAAGCTTGCTTAAATAAGATCATAAACATTTTATTGATTAATCAACCACTGTGTTTACATTCCTTGCTGTTATATGGAACTACAGAGAATTATACCCTTGGCAAATTAAAAACACATGTTACCTGCATATTCTTAAAGAGCATATACTTCAGCCAGTAATAAATGCATTGAATAAGTCCTTTAAAACAGTAAAATATTTTCATGGAGTGTTATCATATCTAGCCATCTTCAGATTCACCCAGTCAAACCATCAGTGTCAAGTCTAACTACGCATTACCCAAATCAAACATGAGGCAGGCTGCAGCTTGTTTCTAATGATTTTTTTTGTTAATTGTGTTAACATTTGCTGAATTGAGATTTTGGGATCCGACCAATTGCCCACCGACACTAGCATGAAGATTTTCTCTTAACTTTGAAATGCTTTGGGTTAGACATTTTGGTAAATCCTCTGATTTAACCAGTGCACTAACGTCTCTAGGTTCATGGTTCTGCAACTGCAGTGGACCATGTGCCTATGAGCCAAATAAAGCATGATTTCTGTAATGCAGAAAGCCTTGCTTTCAGCATTTTCAGTGTTTTCCAGGAATGAGCATGAGCTAACTTGCCTGTCCTGTATCAGTCACAACAGCGACCATAAATGCTGAGGAAGACATGTTGGCAGACTAAGGCTGGACAGGCACCATCAGGCCTGGTTCTGACTTGACACGTAGCACATAGGGGCCTTTCTAAGTTCATATTGAAGTACAATAGCTCAAGATTTCTTCCTCACCTGAGTACAAGCCGTCTCAGATTAGACACTGTGGGTTTTGGATCAAGATGCTGCCTGCCTACAAGTGATACCATGTACACTGCATATAACCTCTCTTTAATGCTATTCCTCATCAGCGCATTTCAACGCTATCAATTTATGAAAGAGAAAAAAGATTAGTGTCACAAGATCTTCGCTGATATTGGCAAACAGCTTTGATTTAGATGCATTCTCCTTGTGTAGCAAGGCAGAAATAATAGAATATTCAAGAAACAGGAAGTTTAAAAAATTTTTAGAAATCTTCATCATACTGAAGACAGATTTCTGAAGACCAATGGAATGATGTTCTACTTCTACCTTCTGCTGAATTGAAATGAGGGTGGTGGTGGTATTGAGTGCTGTAGATTAAGACTGGGATGCATGCCCATTGATTTGTCAACAGCCAAAAAAAAATATAACATTTCTGTTTTACAGTTTTTGAGTCTTGTTAGCAGAATTTAAAATGAAAGGGTCAGAAAGGGTACAAAAACACCTGCAGATGCAGTGCTTACTTCTGATGATGTCAACGGGAAGCCTCCCAGTTCTGTCAGATTCAAAGTATGGCACACATTGCTCATTTGGTGAGCCAAACTATAGGTCAGTGAACTCCCATTTATTCCCCAAACATCCCCCAGTACATCCCCAAGCTGTGGTGTAGGAGCAGAAGCAGGGTCTGTGAAATTTTATACTCCTTTCCTTCCCAGATGCAAGAGAGAAAGGTATAATGTGGGAAATTTCTAGACTGTTAGCTTATGCACATTTTTTCAAAAGTAAATAAGCAGATTTCCAGCATTTGGAAGCTGTTGTGTTTATGAAGGCTTTATCTGTAAATTTCTTTGCAAAGTACTTGCCTTCATGTGTGTGTTTTAAATTGCCAAGGATCTCAGCAGTGTGGAATGGCTTAGAATATAATAATGATGCCACAATTATATTCTCAAAAGTGGGAAATAATGTTTTGCAAAAGTTTGCATGTCATATCTCATGAAAAATCTTTATTTGAGGTAATAGTGCATTCAAATCATGTTAGCTCAGATTAGTACAAGCCTTTTTTTCTGTGGTTTTGTCTCTCTGTAGGAGGAATACTTAGCCACTGATGATATGTTTGTGGACTACTTTAATGAATTTTTGAGTCTTCTGGTAAGTATCTTACAGAAATTATCTGCAAAATACTACAAACATTTTACTAAGATTAATAGTGAAATAATACAGCTTAGAACATTTTGCATTTTGCCACTGGGTAGTTAAAATGCTTTTACAGAATGTCTGTTTTTAGTGGTAGCAACTCTTACTGCTCAATGTTATTACCAGTGTCAGGAAAAATAATAATATCTGGATTTCTAGGGATAGATTTTCTCTTGCAAATATATATATTTAAATCACAGTGCACAGTGCAAAATAATATGAATAGGAAATGAGACACATAAATGCTAACTTAAAAAGTATAGGGAGTCCACTTTTATTCTAGTGTGACAATGTGAGGACATAACCAATGTTTGTCTTTTTACGTTCTTCTAGCAATTCACTCAGTTATCAATAAATACTTTAGCTCAGAAAACTACTCTGTTTCTCTTCCTGGCTGTAAAGGTCTCAAAGCTGGCAGTCCCCTCCTCTTTCTCTCCCATCTGCAGCTAGGATGATACAGCCTTACACTGTATTCTGTGTGCTGATCTGGTGGCAGTTAGACACCATATCTTGTGTCCTATATTTAACCATTTGTCCTGTATTTTGCTTCTTTTCCCCATGTAAGTACATGCCACATGTAGGATTGTTCTGCATCAATGTGGTGAACTTGCCCAACTTCATCTTAGGAGTCTTAGCCTTGCCTATCCCCATTCTCTCCATCCTCACTCCCAAACTCCCTTGCAAAGTGGCACAGAGCTTTCCACAGTGCCACTGGTTGCTCCCGTGGGGGTCCCAGATGACCTACAGCAGAGCAGCATTGTCCCCTCCTAAAGCAACGCAATTCAACAGGCTGCACTATGAGAACATGTACACATTTCTGCCACTTGCTTGGTAGGAACCACCACCTGCGTTAGGAAGGGGCAGAGTCTTTCTTGATGCTCCTTGGACCTAAGACTATGGTGCAGCCACTACTGGAATAAATTCAATTATGATTCAGGCTTACCAAACTAAACTAGACCTAGATGTGCTCTCTAACCCACGTCTTTGTTTGTGTGAAAATACACATAATGGGAGTTGCAGAACTAAGGATGGTAGAATGGGTTCCCCATGTCAATATTTTGTCTTAGAATCTGGCAGTATTAACTCTATATCAGAGTGTGGGGTTTATGCAAGGCAGCAATATTAACTTCTCATGGGAGCTCGGTCTTTATAAGTTTTCACTACACTGCAAGATTCCTAAGAATATTTTTTACAAATCTAAGGGAAACAGAGATGGAAGAAAATGTCTGGTGAGAGGGCTGTTTTTTTTCATCTTTTTCACCTCCCCCCACCTCCCTGCAGCTGCTTTAGAATACCTGCCTAAATCTAAGCCTAACTACATATTTTATAAACCCAGGCCTCCTCCCATGCACTAGGTTACTCTTAGTACAGGAATACCATCCTCTATGCCTTTGCTGCTTATTTGGAAACTATACTTCAAGTTTTCTCCAAATCACAGAGGATGGAGCAGGTAAGAAGTTCAGCCTGCTTCGTCTCTGCCTCCTTGGATATACACGGATTTCAGGACATCTATTAGAGGCCAAAACTGTCTTTGGCCTCAGAGGGCTCCTCAGCCCACAGTCCTGGAGCAGCTCAGCACACAGCAATTGTCCAGGCAATGCTGTCGGCTCTGGAAGCCCACAGAAAAGAGTTCACAGACACTCCTGAGTAAATGTTGTTTTGCGCTTGTAATCTTCATATGTTTCTAAGAAGACACGTGGTCTCTCTTCCATATATTTACATATCTTCATGAAAACAGATGCTGTACTACCTATTTTTTATCTGTAGCATTCTCATAACTGGTTTTATTTTCTCTTTCCTGAGGATTTACTCTCTTCAGGATTAGTTCTGTTAATGCCTTGAGTTCTGTGGTTTGAATACTTTGTATTCCCAATTTCCCTCTCCTTCTCAGAAGGCTTCTACTAAAACACCACATTGAAAATTTCCATTGCTTTATACTTGTTGTGCTTGTATGTTGTTGCCTGGGAACAGTATTAACCAGGTGTGCTAGTAGTTAGGCAACAAGTTAAACTGAAAATATTGTGTGACTTGATACAAGAAATCAGGGGTAGCACATGCTTGTTTTAAGAGACTGCCTGTGTTGATTTATAATGCACCACTTGTGTACAGAAAATTTTATCACTGGGGACTTGCTATAGCAACAACAGATTTTTATTTTTTTTTGCTTTGATTTACAGTATATCCTTTAAGTGATCCTGCTGCTATAAGAATATTCAATACGATCTGACATGAATATCTAGGTACTCCAAATATCCACACACAGTTTGTACAGAAAATACTTCTGAGAGGTAAAATAATATGAAAAACCTCACAAGGGCAGTTGTTGCCAGTACTACAGTGATTTCACAGTAGCAGAAACCAAGTACATGACATACAAATGAGTTACACCTTCCTTAGTAACTAATCTAAAATGAAAGATTTAAGAGAAACATTGGCCTGGTTATATTTCTATTTCTACCCAGTCAGGCATCCCTGGAATTTGAATCTTTGATCCTTGTATTTAAAACATCCAAGAATATGTTTAGCCAGGAATAAAAATTCAGAAGTCAGAAATCGCCATGTAGCTCAGTGCTGGAGGCCTCGGTAAGAAGGCGCAGTTACATCATCTTGTTTCTCCTGCATTCTACCAGCTGCTTGCTACTGGTTCTATCCCAAGTCCATGGTGTGGCCTCACCCCTTGATTTCCAGTTACCAGTGATCCTGATGAAGTCAAGCTCCTCCTCATTGCTACCTCAAGGAGTTGCACTGAAGACAGAAGAGCTAACTGCACCTCAGTTGAAGCATGGTCAGGAAATGACACTCTTGGTGACAAGTCCCTGGTTGAGGGTTTCCCTTGCAGCAGACAGCTACCAAGTGACCACTGACTTCATATTTGAAGATGCCTTCTTTTGAAAGTTGTTCTGACTATAAAATCTCTCTGCTGAGCAGTCTGGGACTCAGAATTTGATGCAGGTGATGATTCTGGAAACAATTAAAGCCCAAGTAATAAAGTCTGGGTGAATCAGTCTTTCTGAAAACAGAACGGTCCTGAAAATCTAGTGCTGTCAAGAGTAAAAATGGGCCTGATCTATGAGTAGCAACTGATGGAAAAGGCAGAAGGCAAAAAGCAATCCACCCTGCTGCAGAGGCCAGACCGTTGTCTGTTTTGAGGATGGTTGTGAATAATTCCATGCATCAACGCATCAGTTCAACACATCAATGCATGTTTTCTCTTGTTTTTTCCAAGTGTGTGGAGGAAGGCTGCAGGTGCCAATACAACCTCCCTTACAAAGGCTCTTACATAAGTAAGGCCCTACATGCATGATACCTTGAATCCTACCCAGGACTAAAACTTGCTTGATATCTTTGACATTCAAGGAAGCAAAAGAAACATTCCTGACTTCTTTCCTTACTGATATTGAGTTTACTCAAAGCCTTCTTCTCTGTTAATTAGACTGTAGTATGTGATTGTGACTTTGTGTCTTACTCATCAATAGAAGGGAAATTCTTGATGCATTAAAGTCAAAGGGAGATTGCTATAGACCATGTGCTGTGTGAATTTGCCAGGCCCTTCATAAAGCTACTCAAATTCTCTTCTGGTCTGGACTCTCACTGACATTTATTTATGATACACACATACCCGTCTTAAGAAGTTTTGGCAAAATTCCTGGATGAGGTCTCTATTCATTCCCACCCTTTCAGGGCCAAGCTGTGGTCATTCTGTTTCTCTTGGGATCAAACTACATTTTTTGGGGTGGGATGTGATGAACATATTTGCACATTTGTTAAGTGTATTTGAAGTTAAGTATATCTGAAAACTGTTAAGGCACTGAACAGTGAGATTTATATATCTGATATCCTGGCAACACGGTGATGGATGCTGTTTTGGTTTCTGTTTTGGGAGGACTGAGAGAAATTTGCCTTCTCTTCAGTTAACTGGATAACTTCAGGTTTCAGAATTATGTATTCTATTTATTTTTCAGCTTACACCATACTCAATGTACATTTGACAGCTAAGAAAATTCTTTGCTATCAAAAATGTAAGTGCAATTGTTTATTTATTTAATAGTATTACTGTAGCCCAGTCTGGAAACAGCTTTTTGTTGTTTACTCGGAGATTTTTTTCTGAAGCTGAGATTACTACACTGAGTTTCATCGGTCATACTAGGTTCAGGGAGGGAATTGCCTGTGAGTGAAACATTTTGCAAACTCTGTAGACTTCTTATTTGTTGGTATTCTCAAGTCCTTGTTGATCCTATTTATTGTTCTAAATTGATAATGTATGAATCCCAAGCTTCAAGACTCCTGCCGAACCTGATTTATTTTTTCTTAACATATTGAAATATAATTTGGCTCTGGAGTTTTCCCTCTCTATCTTCAAAGGATCAAAAATTGGCCCGAACTAGAGAGAGAATGATACACTTATTCTATGGTTAGTGTATTTTACTTGTCTGTAAAAAGCCAAAGTACTTGCCAAATGTGGGGTAAGAAAGACATTTCTTAGTATATTAGATTGGCATGGATAATTTTTTCCCCTTCCTTTATAGTGTAGGCTATCATCCACTCCTTAACATAAGCATCTTCACTGGAGATATTCCTTGTTATTGCAATGCCCTAGAATATTGGTGGTGCCATAAACCTCTCTCATTATTATTCTGTGAAACATTGTAGGATTTTACAGCATTTGGCTTCTACAGGAAAGGTTTTAAGTTTACCACAGGGTATTGAACAGCAGGGGGTTTTGTGGCTTGTAGTGTGTGGGAATGGTTAGATTGTGTGTTTGGCTCCGAAGTTCTTCACGTACTGATCCTCAACCCTGGACTTTGACTGGGAAAATGTTTCCTACAAGAAATCAGGCTAATTTTTTGTGTGTTCCCATTATCACTTTTATTTTTGTGGTAGGAATGAGTTAAGAAGGTCAGGATTTACCTTTTCATTTACTATGCTTATAAAACTATTTTGATTTATCACTTTGGTTTTCCCAAGTAAGCAAGCAAAACATGCTTCTCCAGAAAAGTTTTAAGTATTCAAAAATGCTTTTATATGATAGTTTAATGAGATGGTCTATCTGGTAGAATTTGGTATTTGTACAGAATCATAGCTCATTCAGACTGGAGGGACTTTGCGGAGGTCTGTAGTGTGGCTTCTGCTCAAAGTAGGGTCAGTGCTTTAGCATTGAGATCAGGTTGTCTGACACTTTCTTCAGTTGGTCTTGAAAAACTCCAACAACTGAATCCATAGTCTCTCTGGACGGCCTGTTCCAATGCTGATCATTCCACAATATCTTTTTTCTTTCATCCTGTTGACATCTCTGTTGTTTCAGTGTATGACCATAGTTTTTTGTCATCCTACTATGCACCTCCATGAACAGCCTGGCCCTACCTTTTTAGTAACCTTCTTGTAAGTACTCTAAGACTGCTGCTAAGTCTTCCCAGAGCTGTCTCTTCATGCTAAACATGCCCTGTTCCCTCAGCCTCTCCTCACAGGGCAAGTGGTCGAGCTGCTGACCATCTCAGTGTCTTTCTGCTGGGCTTACTAAAATATAGGAATGTTCCTCTTGTACTTGGTACCCAAACCTGGATGCAGTGTTCCAGATGTAGTCTTACTAGTGTCAAGTAGAGAGGATCTACTGGTTACTCTCTGATGGATATGAGAAGTATGCATGTATGATGTTCCTGAGGACAAGTAACTACACCTTGGTCCAAACCCCCAAACTCTGGATTAGAAAGACATTTTCCAGTCAAGTATGCAGTGTATGAAGTCTTAATCTTCTTATCCCATCAGTGTACATCCTTTTGTTCAATTCGTATATTTGTCTTATAAATGATTTGTAGTCAGACTCCCAAAATAGCAATGCACTTTACATTTTACAAATCATCACTAGCATCTATTTCACTACAGTTACTGTGTGTTTTCTGTTCAGTTAATTAGAATGTGTAGTGAAAAGCCTAGATCTAGAGTAAGTTACAAAGGATTAAGTAAAAGTAGATGTGTGTAATAAGCGAATGTTGTCTTTGCTTACTTTTCAACATGGAGCTAAAATAATCTGGTCATGTCTAATCACGTAGCTTGATATTATGATATTTGCACATGATTTGCTTTTTTTTAGCAAGTAAGAGCATTTCAAATCCTGAAAGACTGAAGCACCTTGTTTCTTAGTGTACTTCTGTTTCTTTTTTAAAAACATGAAGAAATAAATAAGGAAGAATACATTTGGACGTTATTAAGGCTGCAGAGCTAGTAATTTAAAAGCTGGTAGTAGCCCAAAATAGGTTTGAAAGTAAATGAAATGTACACATTGCAAACTGGGAGGAGGTCTGAATGAAATATGGAGAAATCTATTACATATAAAAGGCTCTTTAAAATGCAGTTCAGTACATCTGGAGAAAAAACACTAAAAACTGCCAGAGTACCCTGGAGAAAATTAAAGCCAAAAGAGGCACAAGGTGTCAGAGAACAAAAACCAAACCATGACTTCAGCTGGTTAGGTAACTAACCAGACTAATGCAATTCAATGCATGGCTCTGAGCAGTGACAGTCTGATGTCATAGGCACTAATCATACAATTAAAGCTCTCACAAGCTACGTGCTTTGCCAGGCTGAACCTCCACAGTGAGACATTGTGGGGTAAGTAGGGAATGTTGTGACCACATGTTGCAGCCACATGGTTCAATCCTGGGCATTGCTCTACAAGCCATTGATCAACAAGGGGGCTTCAAACAGAAGCAATAAAATAGCTAATACTTTGGGCATATATAGGTATGATGAAGAATACAATTGGTCTGTAATGCATTTCTATATAATATGTAGCACGTACTCAGCATATGTAATAAGCATATGAATTACGTCTATGTGTGTATACATGTGATATATGAAAAAGTTCAAGGAAATAAAAAACACAGTGCTTGAAAAAGTGAAATAATCTTACTACGTGCAGAGGAACAACAACTGTACAAACACCAGGTGGGATCCTGTCTGGCATGAAGCCAAAAAGAATTTTGGCACTGACTCTGGACATGGCCAGGATTTTCTACAGTTGTTAAGTACAATATGCCTTGTCTTCCAGCTCAGTGCAGAGATGCTTATATGCTCTGGTTGTATATAATCTCATATTCATAACTGTCTTGGGTATCCCTCATTACTTCTGTAAAATTCATCCTTGTTTTCCCTCTTCAAGTAAGAGAATTTGAAAGATAGTCTTTCAGGGAAATACCTAATGCCAGAGCTCGAAAGATGACTCTGTTTTAATGTGTATGCAAGCAGTGGTTTGGGGTTTTGTGGTATTTTTTCGAGTTGATGAAAGTTACAATTATACAGCTAAAGTGGAAGTTTGATCTACCTCCTGTGTTATATAGTATCTGACTGAGTGATATATAATAAAACCTAGTACAGGCCATAGGTTTGGGTGGGTGTTTGACCTACCAGTAACAATAGGGTGAAAATCATTTCCTATATATGGAAATCCTCAGATTCATCCTCCTAAAACGTATCTCACATTTAAAGGTCAGCTTCATTGCTAATCTTTACAAGATTTGATTGTGGTAGTGAATAGGAGAATAACACTGGAGATCTGATCCTGTAGGTAAGTAGTTCCTGGCAGAACATTTACTAAAGTCACATTAATTATATATTCTAGATATCTGTGTACCGATTCTATTACTTGCATGTGAAAAAGAATTGTCTGTTACCTAGAATGAATTAAATTTGTGACAGTTATGCATAGCTGAGACAAAAAGTAGGAATGCTTTGGAAAGCTATACAGCAAAGAGACTAAAGAACAAGGATACAGAAAAATTATTATTCCAGACTCTGAACACAAACTACAGAAGGCAAGAGAAAGAAGCCTCTTAATACCAGCTTGCATTCTGTAGGATTCTTCTACACTACGCAAAGTAACTTCCTTAAATGAAAGAATTCCCTTATTACAATGTTATAAACTTTCCAAACTTCTTTTGTAGACTTTTGCCCAGCCAATTAAGTTTAACTCTGACTTCGGAGTTTTTGAAGTAGTTAATGATGCTCCACAACGCCTGGAAAGCCAGCTGAAAAAAATTCTGCGTGATGAGAAACCTCCAAACCCCATTTATGATGTTGTAAGGAAAGCAAAGAATGTCAGGCAGCTATCCAAAATGTGCAGTGCTTCTCCAACCTTCAATATTGATCCAAATTACACCACTATGGTAAGCGTCTTATAGCTCCTGAGTTTATATTTAGATCTTACTGTAGAGATACTGGCAGTAGTTATTGTTGTGTTTGGCTTGGTAGCTTGGGAAAAATGTTAATTTATGTTGGGAAAACATAATGATGGGCCAAATTATGCCCTGCAATGCACATGTGTCTAGCAGACAAGTGAATGGAATTACAGATGTACATCCTGTAGCACAGAATTTTGAAGATTCTGTAGGGCAGGATTCAGTTGTGTGGTCTGAATACTTTTTAATATTAAAAGAAAAAATATTATGACAACAGTTACTTTACTAGTGATCCCTGGAATGTGCAAATTGACTGAAACTAATGCATCTCAGTCTTTCTTTATTAATTAATTTCCTTGTGTGGCTATGAGCTCATCTGTGGTCTGGCAACACATTAATCTCTTCCATTAATTCCCAAAAGATTTACATGGTTAGCATCAATTGAAATGGCCAGAGAAAATAATCTTTGGCAACAAGAAACCTGAAATAATGGAAAGATACCTTGGATGTTAGAAAAAAAATATTTTCAGATTTGTTCATACACTCTAAATTTTCATATTCTTACCTGCTTACTTTAAGACCTTTCTTCAGCATCAAATTAGGCACGTTAAAATCAGGAAGCATGGTATGTACTTGAAAGAATACAAGATGGTATAATTAGTTGTGGGAGATTACCTTTGAACAACGGCTCTGACGAAAAAAATACTTCACTGGAGTACTTGGTATATTCCTTTCTTGCTTACTTTGCATTGGTGTGACCGATGTGACTTCAGTTCATTTCGTTCAAGGCCAGTCTAAGGTCTTGCTACATTTTTAGAGGCGCTGCTCCGAATTATGTCATGGCTGGAAAGCTGAGAGTAAAGCAGGGAGTTGTAACAGACTGCTGCTTTGCCCAGTATAAACTTAATGATTTTCAGAAAGGAAAACAGTGTTGAGAGAGGTCGAAAGGCAACAATGTTTAACAAAATGATAGTAACGTAAGGTTGCAATTATCTGCATCTGAACTGGACAAATACTACAATAGCACAAGGCTCACAGACATCCCTACCATGTTAAATAATTATTTTTACAAATACTTTGCTTAAGAGCACAAAAGCAGACGAGCTTCTCAATTCTTATTTCCTCTCAGGATTCCACTGAGGAAATGTTGTGTGCTTCTATAAGGGTGGCTAACATTGCTCTCTGGGATAAGCTTACATCACCACAATGGTGGATGGCCTTTCTTGACAAATTCAAGGCTATTTCACTATTACTTACATCTTTTGTGTGATTTGGAGCAGCAGGGCTCCTGTATTAAGAAAACATTTCTTTCTCTGGGCCATTTTCCATAGATGGGAAGCTTTATGGCCTTTGAAGGACCAGTATGCTCAGTACACTTCCTTCTCCGTTTTGGATGAAAGAGTGATGTTTCTGCTTATTTTTGACTCCTCCTTTACTGGACAGATAACATAGATGCCTCAGCCAGTTCAGCTTGCCATCTCAAGCCTGAGCTGGAACAAAAAGCCTGCAAAACAGCATGCCAAAAATCATTACCACAACTACGCAAAGTGAAAGAAGTCATGGGATCATAGAATGGCCTAGGCTGGAAGGGACCTTAGAGATCATTTTTAATCCAGCCTCCCTGTCACCAGTCATCATACTACACTATGTCTGGACCAGAATAAGTCATCCCAGACCAACCGCATCAAGTAGTTCAGTTCAAATCAAGTAGGATTTAATCTTTTAGGCATTGGGTGATGCTGCCTTCTTTGCATTAAGAGCTTTCTTCACACTAGTTGAAGAGACAGATAGGTGCTTTGAATGCTATGTTGTTGCAAAAAATCACCTTGAGCGGCCATTACTGGCACATTACTAATGAAAATGAGCTATGAATGGGGAATCCTAGCAGGCCTTTCAGGCTATGGCCTGAATTTAAAAATACCTTACCTAGGAAATGCACCCAGTGGTATTTTTCTCTGTACTTTACTTCCTTCCCAGGTTGTTACAGATAAGCTGTTATCTGCATGTGCACATGCACACTTGCCAGTTATTGATATGGAGATAACTATCTTCTTATCACTAGTCAAAATCACCTTGGTGTAAAAGAAAAAAAATTTGCAGATTTGAGTAGAATTGATCACAACTATGGAAAGAACCTGGCTGGCATCCCACATACCTTGCTTTAGAGAAACCCCAGTTCAGCAAAGCACTTAATTATGTGTTTAACTTTAATCAAGGGAAGTTAAACACATGCTTAAACTTAAACACGTGCTAAAAGCTTTGCTGGATTGGGTCCCAGCAAGGCCTAAGGCTGACTGGGTAAGGAAGCTAACCACGGCAACAAAACCCATCAGATTAAATGTAGCATCTTTCTCTAGGGAAGTCTAAAGAGTAGAAATTCTTTCCTTCTGATAGTATACATAATAATTTTGTGTACCAGCCATGTACAGACGTGAACATGTTATGAATCACGCAGATAAAAAACCGGACTGTGAGTCAGTAAATGCATAAATATTAAATGTCAAAATAAAAGAGACGATCTTCTGTATTTCAAAAAACTTGTCAGTTACCAAAAAGAGGCATACACTGTGTGGTTGGGAGTAATTAGTCTCCATCTTCACAAATTACATTGTATGAGCCACTGCCAACATAAGCTTTCCATATTTTGAAATATTTTCTTCTCTCTAAATGAAACCACCCACTTTCTGAGTAATTCAGATTTTTTTAATCCCCTACAGATATGTATGAGGTAGAAATAACCCTTGTCCCTAATGGAATATTAGCTCATGGACAGAAAATTTAAAATGTAATCTACATAAACTGATTATTTGATATAGCAAGTAGCTTCCATCCTTGCCCAAACTCCACCTGTTTTTAGGGACAAGGGGAGTTACGGCATTCTTCCCGATCATCAGTCTCACCTTGATTAAAAGGAAAAACGCACTTCAGACAAATAAAATTGGTCATCCCTTAAGAGTGCAAAAAGTACACTCTTAAAAACAATATCAAAGAGCGTGTTGTGTGTCACTTCTAAGGGAAAGGGCTATCGATCGTTGTATGGATTGCCAGAGATCTTACTCTCTTATGGGACCCTAGCTCTAGTTTTTTGGTTAGCTGTGGGTACCTTGCCACTCACATCTCCCTTCCACACCCCAAAAGCACTGGTTGGAGGTACCTCCATTTCTGCTTTGAGAAGGCACAGAGGGTTAGACCCCCTGAGCAGAAATCTGTTACAGGCCGATTCCTACTGCACTTACATTTCCACTACAAGAGTTACTGAGTGCAATGCAGTTATGCAGTTCTTGAACACAAAAGCAGGAAAGGTAATAACTGATTGGATTTTTATTTGTTTGATTTTGTTTTTAATATCCGCAGTTCTTTTGTTTTGCAAGTATAATTTGATTTAAGGGTTTCCTGAGACAGTGCTGCTTCTGTAGAACGGGAATGGTGAGAATCAGTTGCATGGTGAACAAAACAAGAAAGTTAAAAATGCTGCAAATCTCTGCATTTCTTTTTCTAACAGTGTCTCGATCGAGAAAAAGCAATTCAGTGGATTAAGAAAGAAAGGCTTCCAGCATTTCTAGAAAGCGACTGTTACTTTGAATACAGGTATTCCAGTCTTAATCGTGTCTCTCCGCTCTAAATTTGTAGTTCTTTCTCTTCTGTCTAATTCACCTTGACTTAATGTGTTTTCTCCCACCTTTAGTCCAGTTTAGTTTTAAATTATAGTGACCTGGGTAAAGTGAGTGACTTTTTTCACCCATCATTCTGTAATTTTCCTTGAACACGAATTACATACATTATTATGAATAGGGTAGAGTAAGAGTAGGTTTTGCTGATTTCTGAGTCTTCCACAGCTATATCATGGTAGCATTGCATCTTTCTTTAATTAATATGTAAGCCCTAGAAGTGGAAGTTATGAACTCTGTTTGAAAAAGAAGCAAGTCCTTTTTATTTCAATTATTAGCTTTTTGTCTTTGAGCCACTGTCAGACTTCCTTTCAGAAAATCCTCCGTGGGATGTTGTAGCATAGTTGGACAATTTACTGCTGTACACTTGCTATATTTTTCCAGATGTCCTTTGAGCAGATGTTCAGGAGGTTTAGTGTGCTTTTTTGGAGGATCTGCCTCTACAACCCTTAAGGTTCTGTAGAGATACTTTTAATTGTAATGTGTTTCAGAGGTCCTCAAAAGAAAGGCAGCCCAGAAGTATGGCTCACAAAACACATTTGCTGATTGTAATGGCACACTAATTTCTGGGGTATAGACTTCTACATTAAAAATTTCAAAATATTTTTACCTTTCAATGTTTTGAAGATAGTACTTAAATTCAAAGGAAAAACTACTCAAAGAACAAGCAAACCGTGAAAGAGTGCTTCATTTTACCTTTAGGAGCAGCCTGCTTTACACATATCTGCATCTCATGAAATGCTACCTTTGATCTTCTAGCATCGCAAATTATTTCTTTCATCAAGCAGAATTACCAAAGAGAATTACACAAAACTAACTTTAAGCATGTACCTAATTTCCATTGACATCAGTGGCTTAAGTTTGCTTTCCTGAATCAGGATCAAGAGAACCTGAGATGTTAAAAGGGAAATGCACATTTAAAGATGAAAAAGATACCCCAACCCTAAAGTGAAATCCATTTGCCCTCAAATAGTGAGGACAAACAAAACTGGTTGTAGGCTCAGGCATAGGCTTCATCTTCCCTTCACATGCACCTTGATTAATTTTGTACTGCTTTCTAACTTAACTAAACTCTATCTCAGTTCTTGAGCCCAGAGCATCCTCATTATCCTCGTGCAGTTCTAAGATAGTCCTTCCTGAACATCGCAAGATTCACACTCACACAAACTAGTCCTGGAGTGCTGTTCAGTATCATGAAGTCCTCCATAGAGCAGCCAGCTGAACCTGATAGCACCAGCTGTCTTGTTATCATTTGACAGTTCAATTAGTATGATCACTGCTGTGGCATTGCTGCTGGAAGGCTGCTTGTATCAGGAACAGGAAAGGTAGTGTCTAGTGGTGATACAGGACTTCTGCAATCTGGGACAGTAATTCCATTTTAGTGGTCAAAATGTTCAGGGGCTTCTTGGCAGGGCTTGGGACTTCATAGATACGTGCAAGGTCATCCTGACAGAAATCAGTTTTACTAGTAAAGCTTGATAATGCAAAGCAGGCCACCATCTGTAAAGCTGCTCGTCTATGGAATGGCAGTTTTGGTGTTTACATATGTGACAGAAGAAGGGTGAAATAATGAAGCAGATCATGAAGTTCTCTGTAGCAGTTTCTTTTTAGATTTATCATGTTTTTATTGCCTATTCTGGAGAAAAAGCAATTGTTTCTCTGATAAAAAAGTTTAAATTAACAATTTTTTTTGTCACAACACTCGATTTCAGGCTAGCTAAATTGATGTCACAGGTAGAATGGAGCCAGACTGGCATTAACTTCATTATAGATAGTGACTACTATCCCTGGATAAGGAAGCAAGACCCAGGTCCTCCACCTCCTGAGGAGGATGACACTTCCGTTATTATGAAGAAGTTCTACATAACGCTTGGGCAGGTAAAATAAACATCAAGCTGGATTGAATACATTGGGTTAAATTATTGTAACTGGTGTCACAACCTAATTGGACAACTGATTCTCTGAATATCCCTTATTTTCAAAGCTCTTTGTACTATAGAAGGAGATTGATGGGTGGTAATACAATTTAAACAGAAGTTGTATTAAAAGTATGCTGAGCAATTGCCATACAGCTCTCTTAACTAGTAACAATCATTAGAGGAATCTACACAGACTGCATAAAATGACTACAGACAGTAAAATTTCTGCTCTCAGAAACACTGCAATAAATAGAGAAATTTGAATTATTGTATGACATTTCTTTTCCTAGGCTACAGTTTCTCAGACGAAGGATTGGTTTACGTTAGCAAAAATAAATGAATCCACAAAAACTAGAGATTCATTTATGCGTCCTGTAGCTTCTAGCCAAATTCAAGAAACTCAGTATTTGCCTGGGCAGCATGAAAAACATTATTCATTAAGTGAAGAAGATAGTCTTCCGGGTAAGTAAAAGGGGCTCAACCATTGTATTTATAACACAACTCAGACTAGGTGGAAAGAAAGGAATTCCAAGGAATTGCTACTAATTCCACTGAGTATCACATGGTACCTCAGGCTTCGGATAGAGATTTGTTTCTTTCCATAGCCACAACATTAAATGAAAATTTGAGCTAGTAGCAAAGTAATTTTGTGATAACACAAGCTTCTTTACTTACCTATTTCTGTCTCATAGATATCTGTAAGTTTCTACAGCTACTTTTTTTTTTTTTCCTTGCCCATTTGATATGTTTTGACATAGTTTCTTGTCTGGATTCTTTTGGTATTTGATAATTGAAACTGGGTATGATTTGTGTTGCAGCCAGCTTCTTAGGGTATTTATGCTGGGCATTTATAGGACTTCTGCCTACCAATTTTTACAAATCCTGTGGGACATAAACATTTGTGACACTGTTGTCTATCTATCAAATTTAAC